TCCGGGTAGAAATGGCTTTCTACCCGGAAAAGCTCACCGGAAGCGCTGGCGCCGCCATCTTTTTTGATGAAAAAGTGCTTCCGGTGAGGTCACTGGAAGCACTTTTTCATCAAAAAAAGATGGCGGCGCCCAGCTGATGCCGGTACCGGGCCGCGGCGCCCAGCTGATGCTGGTACCGGGCTGCGGCATAAAAAAGGTTGGGGATCACTGCTCTGAGGTATTGTCCTAATTACTAGCTCAAAATCTCCAACACAGGTAGACCTGAAGATTCTCAGTTCTAGTCAAACGGCTTAACCACTGCACCACGCTATATCTCTACAAGTTCTCATTTATTTCTTTGGAACTGTAGAAAGTTAGCACCCACCCCTCTCCTAGAAGAATGAAATATTCTAGGAAATATTAAAAAGGCAGAATATTATATTTCCCTGGATGAGAAAAGAGAAACATGTTTTTAAAGACAAAGCAGCTCCCTGTAGGGTAATGGGTTTAAGAGATGGGTCTCAGGACATGATATGATTAGCTCTCTACCTATCTCACCACATGGCACTTAGGAAGATTACATCACCCAGCAAGATGCAACCAAGTCTGGAACTCAAGACAATCTACAAAGCATGGCCGCATGAGAGTCTGATAACCAATCAGAATACATTTCTTTCACAGGAACAGGACACAAGTTCAAGGCCCAAGAGAAGGTATAAATCTCACTCACCCATGTGCTCAGTTTTGCCCAGGATTTCAAACCATGTGGTCCTGTCCACCATTAAACCATCCTTCCAAACAGTCTCCATGTTTCCAGTGTTTTTCTTCCCACTTGGAACTGAACCCAGGTCGACATTTATTCCAACATAACCAAATTTCATTTCTTATAGTCCTTTAAGAATTTTTGGCAGCTTTGGGCCTTCCGGTTTGAAGTCAATTATTTTTGGCAGCTTTGGGCCTTCCGAAGTCTCTTCGGCAACAGACAGAAATCCGCGATCGTGCAGTTTTGGTCTGGGCTTGCTGCTGGAGCGCCCCAAGCCGGCTGGTTTCGGGGCTAAGCCACCCTGTAGAGGTGGTGAAGAGGGGGGAGACTGCCAGCAGGGTTGAGGAGAGCCACATCTCTCATGCTCAGTTGGCCTTTACTCCCTTTCCCGATGGCGGTTGCAGCGGTGGTCAGAAATGGCCACCACAAAGAAGAACTCAACCGGAAAAGAATGTGCAGGAGGAAGATAAGAAGTGAGGTTTGGCTGACCAGGTTAAATTGTGAAAGCAACAACTAAGGTACCCTGAAATTTAAACTTACAAAAAAATAACATCGCTCCCAAAGAAGAGTCGGAAGCAGCGAAGGAAAGTGAAAAGGGAAAGGTTTGGCTTTTTTCTTCTTCTCTCTCCTTCCCTATACTGACAACTAAGAGACTTAAATAAGAAATCAGAAAAATCCACTTTGACATCAATAGGCAATTAAGCTGAAAATAAAATAAAATGCCAAAGGGATAATAAAGATTTCTGGACACTAATTTTTTTTTTCATAAGCAGGAAGGGAGAGAAAAAATAAGGGCAGGATCTGGAAGAGGGAGGAGACTGCCTGGAATTAAAAAGAATCTACAGTAAAACTTCAACAAGACTTCTAAAAGATACATTTTTAACTGAAACTTTGTAACTAAACAGTAACCCAAGAAGAGAAAGTGAAAAAAAAGAACAAAAAGAAACAGCTTGCGTGTATTTGGATTATTTGGTGATCTTTGGATTCTTGGTTATTACATTTGAATGACTAAAATTAATCGGGTAGTTGTTTAAAAATTTATACAATGACACCACTTCTGGATGAATTGAAAACGGAACTTAAAAAGTACAAAGAAGATGCACAAGAAGGGAAGGGTTCTTTTGGCTTCGTTTTTCAATTCTTAGAAATGGAGATTTGGAACTATGAGAAACAACAAGAAACGTCTGCAAAACAAGAAGACTGGGACAAAGAAGAAGCCATCTTTAATGAACAAGTAATTTTATGTGGGGAAGAAAAAGGAAAGCGGGGGAAGAGAATGGAGAATTCAAGATTTAAAAAAACAACCAAAGAAAAGAAAAATAATTCAAAAAATAAGTATAATACTGGAAAGCAACAGAAAAGGGGAATACAGAAGAGAGAAATAGAGGTAGAGAGACAAGGGGATAAAAGGGGGAAAGAGAAGAAGAGAGGGAAGAAGGAAAGGAAAAGTAGTTACAAAGGACCGGAGCAAGATATAGAGAAACAGGACCTATTTAGAGATAATGGGTGAAAATCTAACTGAAAAAGGGATTCTGTAAAGGTACATTAGATTGTATTGTTATATTAGTAATAGAAATAACTTTAGAAAATTGGAAACAATGTATGATTAAAATGGGGGATAAAATAGTTAGTGTAATTTAGTGAAATGTTTGTGAATAAAATAAGTGAAATAAAATAAATGAGAAAATTGAATTAGGAAGGAACAGGAACATTTTAATTAGTTAATGTTTTATAAAATATAAGTGAAGAGGGGGGGAATTAATTATGGAAAGCTTATAATTGTTCCCATAGAAGTATGATATTTAATTGAAAAGTAATGTTAAAGAAGTTAAGACTTTAATGAACATTAATATTAATGATAGAATTGAATTGGAATGGAATGTGTTGTTTTAATTACATACATTTGTAATTTTTTCTTTTTTTAAGAATATAGTGTGTATTTTAAGAATGTACCAAGCAGAATCCGAATGGAAGTTATGTATTATATTGAATGTTATAACTTTAGGGTATATATTGAAGCCTAAATAAGAGTTAAATGGATAAACTTAAAAGATATAAAGGCATCATACTCCAATCAGTAACTACAGGAAAAAATTTGTTTAATGAGAAAAGATAATAGATAATTGAAACAGGACAGACAAAAAATACAAATATAATTATTTGAATTGAGATGAGATAATTAAAATAAAATTGAGAAAATTAAAAGAGGGGAGAAGCTATGCAGAAAATGTAAAATAGTAATAAGATATGGAATAGAATATAAAAATGAGC